AGGTTGAATAATGATGCATTGGAGTGGTAACAATCCTCTTGAGATAAATATGAAGCATTTTTCTTCTCGATGTCATCCAACAATTTATCAATTCTCTCCAAACATGACAACATCTTAGGACTCATATACGCGCTCTCAAAACCAGAATTGTACCCAGCATTAAATGAATACCCTTGATAATCACAACCATAGTAGGGATCAGAAGACGAATTGTTCCAAGAGTATGGATCTTCTTGATATGTAGGATAGTCTCTATAGTCAGAATTATAACTATAATACGGAGTCTCTCCATATCCATAGTTAAAATTCTCCATAATAGCTCAAATATCATATAAAAATATTGACACAAGAAAGAAAATAGAATAAAAATAAAAATAAAAATAAAAGTAATAAATTAATAAAACAAAAGAAACTATATACAAATCTAAATTAATAAAACAAATAATCTAGTTTTGATATTGGTTAGTGCCTTCCCCGGTAACGGCGCCAAATTTGACAAGCCGTCGTCACACTAGTCAAATATTAATTACCTACTTAATACAATTACTAGTAGTAAAGCAGAAAGCAGGGTCGATCCCACAGAGAAGGTTGCCAAGTACCGGTTAAAATTATTTCTTATTATTATTTAGATTAACAATTTATCAATTTTAAACTATTCTAAACCTAAAACTAACAATTGTAATTATTTAAAGATATAAATAAGTAAAAGAAAAACCTAGGGTAAAGGGATCACCAACCGACTATTCAGTTTAATTTAATCTATAGATATGTGACTTTTAACTCTCATTAATCTCACGACAATTCACCAATTTAAGAATTATACACTCTCGTGTCATAACCCTCTTACTTAAACTAACCCTATGACTACTCTCGTGATTATAGGGATTAATAAAAGTACATGAAGAACTTTGGAATTACTAGTCGCAAAGGCGGTGTTCCTACTCTCGTGGCTCACTATCCAAGTTTATTTATTCCTACAAACTAATACTAACCTTCCACTCTCGCTACTTCAGCTAGCACCTTAAAGCATGCAAATATTGATCAGGTATTCACATGGATGAAAAATAAGAATAATAAATATTAATTAATGAAAAAGTCACAATAATGAATTAAATTAAATTAAATAGTACGGCAGCTATATCCAAAATCATAGATTAAATAATTTAGCTACACATCATCTCAAAAATAAATAAAACAATGAAACCCGGGAGAGAGAAGTCGCAAAATTGAGTCCGGAAATTGATCCAATGCTGCTCCTCTTGGCGATGATGGCGCGTAGGTGATGAGGAGATTTGGTGCGTGGGTTTTGGTGATGGAAGGAGATGGTGTTTTGGTGCGTGGGTTTTGGTGTGTGGAAGGGGGCTGCGTGAGAAGGGCTGGTGCATGGATGATGGACAAGGAAACAAGGTGGTGGTGGGGTAATGGGATGATGATGTTGCTGGTCTATGGTGTTGGTGGTGCGTTGGGGGGAAGTGGTGATTTGGGGGCTGAAGTGGCGTGGGTTTTGTGGTGATTGGAAAGTCGGCGGAGATGGGATCATAAAGGTTAAGGTGATGTGGTGGTTCAGTCTCTCGAAAATAGAACTCTAATCTTACTTTTATAGGCTTTCGTCAAATCCTATTTCTTCATGAATAAGAAAAAGTTATTTCCCAATTAAAATTGAGATTAAAATTTTTGCGATTTCTTCCTCATTAGTTCTTACAATCTTCATTTAAGCCCTTTTTAGTTGCTCTTTCTTTTCAATTTAGTTCAAAACCTCAACAATTCTTCCATTTGAGTACAAAACCTACAAATAAAGATAAACTCATATAAATAGCATATTTGTACTCAAAATATATTGCAAAAATCACAAATTAAGAATATAATAAATAGGTAAAATATAAGCATATCAGAAATGTATTCCATTTATGGTGAACCGCGAGTGGGACAAGTTGAACCTACGATGGAGGAACGTTTTACATTTCTAAGTACATCCTTGTCATAATTAAAGTGGAAGAATCCTCAACAAAGCAATATTTACATTATTCGTACAATTTGATCTACTATAACTAATCATAACACAATATCTACTAATTAGATCGAAACGCGAGTAAACGGCGAAAACTGTAAACGGCGAAAACTGTAAAAAAATAATAATAATTAAATAAAATTTAATTGTGTTCTCTTGTTTGAAAACAAAACTTTAAAAATAAATATTTATCATATTTCCTAATTATTATATACGTAATATTTTTAACGTTTCATTTTTATTGTAAAAATACAGAAAATAAAAATTAAGATAAATCAAAATATCTTATGATACGAATTTGAACGGATAGTCTTAGAACTTAGAAGCCGTAACTTGGCAACAATCACTTTTCACGTGACATTATTTATTGGTGCCTTTGGATTGGATTAGGACTTCGGATCTGATCATCATAATTAGGGCAAATATTTTCTAGTTTTGTCTACTGTTTCTATTTTTGTTGCTATATTCAGCATTAATTTCACTTCTTTGTTTGCAATTTATTAGTAATTAATCCTCACCAAAGAAACTTTTCTCGTAATGTATTTTGGGCTTAAAATGGAAAAATTAAATCGATTCGGATTCTGATTGGTAGAGTATTGAAATTAAATTAAATTTCTCCCAAGCACTAAATCTCAGCTTAGGAAATTACCAAAAATTAATTTTAATACTCTCTATGCCCAGGAAAAAAAATCTACATTGAATCTTTAGATTTGTATCAATGTGGACTTTTTTTTTTTTTTTTGGACATAGGGAGGAATTATTTGATTTTTTTTTCTTTTTGTTTTGGATGGAGGGAGTAATTTTCGAAGAAGAAATTCGATGAGTTGTGTTTTCGTAATGCAATGTTGGTGTTCAAAAAGATTAAAAGAAAAGAACTATTCGCCGGCAACCTAAAAAAAATATATTAGTTTAATAGAAGGTAGCATCTTTTGCAGAGTTCATCCTTAATTTATTTGGTATTCGGACAAAGTGTGCATGAATCAATTTCTTGAAGATATTGTTCCTTGCACTGTTCTTTAATCTTTTTGTCACTGAAAATGAAACAATAGAAAAATGGAATTATCTTATGAATTATAAGTGACTAATAACTTACCTCTTGGTTTTTGTTGCAGACCTTCAAGGCGACTTGGGAATTCATGAATGAATGGGCTAAACTTAATTAATTTTTAATGTACTTTGTATTTATAATCAAAAAAAGTATAAATAAGAAAAAAGAAAAAAGAATCAAGTCTATTTACCACAGATCTCAATTGTTTGAAATCATTAGCGCCATTTTGAGTGATAACTTAATTGTTTGAAATTACATATTGTAGCCAGCAAAACGTTGCATTGGTTTTGGAAGATAATGTAGCTGAAGAAATTAATACTATTAGCAAAATGAAGAAATTTCAAAATAAGTGTCGTTTTCATATTTCAATGTATTTTTTGTCTAAAGTTTTCAAAATTACTCTCAAAAGAATTAATATTATTGGCGGACATTATTTTAATGGGGTTAGTTAAGGATATTCAAGTAATTTTATTATCCTAATTAATAGTTTCTTAAATTATGTGTAAAGTGTAGGATGACGTTTATTTTGGAATAAAGAGAGCAATAACAAATTTCACAAACACAGACATTGAGGTACGCATTAATTCACCTGTAAGCAGTGATTCATATGCCAAACGAATGTCGACATGCATAACCGATTGCAGTCTTATACCATATCCACCACGATTTGATTAGATTTTGTTTAGTGTTTGTTTCGTAATTTAAGTTTAAACGCGATATATTGAAAACACATTTTTTAATTCTCCGTGATAGACCCGGCCTCTATCAGAGATGCACTGAGAATGTTAAAATAATATTCTTGCTGTTTTTATTTTTTTTTTACAAAATAGTTTATTTTGTTGAATTAAAACAGGATCACAAATCAATTAAATTATTTTTTGAGATTAGGAAGTAATTAATTTTGATATGAATAGGTGTAATTTAAAAAAAGAATAACACTCCGTAGTATAATTTCAGGATTCAAGAGGTTGTCCATGGAGAAAATGGGGTGACTTAAAAGTTAGATTAGAGATACTCTCTAGTAAGAACTCAAATCGTCCGAAAGTACATCTTCGTCAATAATTCTACAGAACTGCATGTGTAAGAACAGGAGACATTGGCATATTCTGGGCTTCACTAATCAAGATGGAAATAATTAGCTAGGCGGTTGCAATCACACTGTAAATTCTCTTCATCATCCAGTTACCGACTTGACAAATTCAGCTATGACTTCATTCATGAAGATTGAAGAAACCAACAAGTTTTGCAGAAAAAGGGTGCAAATTTTATCCAATATTGATGTATTAGTTGATCCTTAAAAAATTAATTAACGGCCATGTGTACATGTCTCATCAACTGACTTCTATATATCACCATCTACGTGAATTTGTGACTCAATTAAATCCATAGCCTCAAAATGGGATACAAACGTACAATCGGAACAACTAGTTACACTTATGTAGAATCTCTCAATTTATAGCAAATTCTACCTTTTTGTTTATCTATCATCCCCAATCCCGATAAGGTGGATGAGACGTTTCCTCTAAAATGGCCTCAATTATTGGATCTTGTCACGTAAGTTGTACAGTAATCTTTTTTTTAAAACTGCAAACTGATATTCCCTCTGTAAATTTTCGATTTCAAACTGATTTTTTTTTTTTTTTGTTCCCTTTTAATGAATAGCTACGTTGTGAAGAAATTCTTAGTTGCTTGAGTCTTGAATTTCTTGTTTAAAGTGGACACTTGAGTGCTTGAATCACTTGCACCTATTTATGGTTTTTTAAAACTAAACTATGATATGATAATTGAATGATCCTTAGAATGTCTGCATGTGTTTGATTACCTTATGATATATGGAGGAACTCACTGGACTTTTATCCCATTCGAGTATTTTTTTTTCCCTGTCCAGGTCAGTAAGCGAGTAGAACTAACAAAGGGTTTAATGCGGGCGCAAGAATAATTATATCCGAATTCAGAAACAAATAAGTTGCGCTGAATTTTCTACGTAAATTAGAAACTTAAAATGTGTAATAGATGTAGTTGATTATGTTTCACAATGCCTTGAGCGAGAAATCTCTCGACGAGCGACTCTATAGGTCACCGAGCATAACAGTAAGCCGGTGATTTGTGTCATTACAGTGGTCACTGTTTAAGTGTTCAAGAACCTGATATTCTGTGTGGTAAGAGAACCGACATAACACTATTGGTATGATTTGAGGTGAAAAATCTGGCAACTCGGATTGTAGGACCCTTTCGCCGCAGCTTGATCAAATTTCTTGACAGCAGCCTCATTCTCCTCCAAACTTAACTGAACAAAGTACCGAAACCACCAGGCTGCGCTTCTAAGTTTAGCCTAATACAGCCACAACCAAGGCAAATGTATCAAACAAAATAGTTCACCAAGAGGAGATATAGGATGTTATATTCCCTTTCTAGAAATGATGAATGCCTAGAACTTGACGGACAAGATAGGTCAATACACTAAACAGTGATCAATGACTTCACTGAAGATATCCTAGCACCCATTAGTTCACATCTCCAATCACCAAACACTCCATCAAAATTAGCAAACTATGCCATCCATTGATTTAATGCTATTGCTTTTGAAAGAAGTGAAAGCATATTATGTACAAGTAAACAAGTAGGCATCTCAAGTTTGCGTGTAGATTATTGACCAACTAAAGCTCCAACACTATCAATAGGTTACACTGTTCCAGTTAGTATTTTAAAAAGGATAAATGCTCCAATTTAAAAAATTTCCAGTCACAACTGACACTGAGAAATGTCAAGTTATAAACTTATACTTATCACGAATATTTCAGGGAATGACTGAAACTACATCTGCAAGCGAACGATTACAGTTAGTTTTTTGAAAAGGCTAAAATGCTCCATATCTAAAATTTCTAGTCACAACTGACTCTGAGAAACATCAAGTTATAAACTTATAGTAATCATGAATATTCAGGCAATGACTGAAACTACATCTGCAAGTGACGGAAATCAAAGCACAGAACAGTCATGGTTGATGCAAATTACATCAGAGTGCATGTGCAAACATTTTAGCAGCTCATATTATTTTGCTCTGCCTGGCTATGAGCTTTAAGGGATAAGTTATAATCAGAATGAGCAACAACAAATGATCAAGAAGTAAATTGGAAAGTTTTAAGGCAGAATAGGGGACTTACAGATCGGCCAACTTTGAATTTATCCACGGCTTTGATTTTATGATGCTGGGGGTAGCCTGCAATGAGTTCAAACCAGAGTAAGACATAACAAGCCTATGGATGTCCAAATCACAAGGCTCAAGAAATTGCAGGGGTAAAACCTTAAATTATTTCATAGTCACTATTTTTCTTCAGTTTTCTTATTCCAAAATTTTCTTTTGTAATTTCTTTCCTTTTTTTTTTTTTTTTGGTTAACCATTTTGTAAATTCTTCATAACAAAAAGTTTCCTATCCCAACGGTAATGGCATTATACTTCAGATACACTTGAAAGTGAACATAAACTTTTGCATTGTTCCCCTCAAGAAGTTTTTTCCAAAAAGGTCCCCTCTAGAAGCGGAATGAAGGAGATCAACAAGGAAAAAAACTATCCCACAGTCTCAGGAAAGAAAGGCAATATTTTCATGGCAGATTGACAGCTATGGAATGAATATAGACTGATTTACATAATTACATGGGTTCAAAATTAAATACCAGAGAACAATATGCGTAAACACAAATGGGTCTCATACATGCACACGCATTTGAAAGATTTGGCAACCATTTTTAACAGTAACATTTTCAAATACGGAAGGACTAAAACCTCTAAATCCATAATGGAAGATTACATACATATTTACATGGGTTCAGATAAATGCCAGAGAACAATATGCGTACATGCACACACATTGGAAAGATTTGGCAACCATTTTTAACAGTAACATTTCCAAATAAGGAAGGACTAAAATCTCTAAATCCATAATGGAAGATTACGTACATAATTATATGGGTTCAGAATTGAATACCAGAGAACAGTATGGGTAAACACAAATGGGTCTCATACATGCACACGCATTGGAAAGATTTGGCAACCATTTTTAACAGTAACATTTTCAAACATGGAAGGACAAAATCTCTAAATCCATAATGGAAGATCACGTGAAATGCTTACATAGTGTTTTACAGCTAGAAATTTCATAACCTTTTTCGATAATGGAGAATAAACTCTTACCAGTAAAAATGATAAGGCCATCAGCGGAAACCCTAGCCAATTCAGGAAGCGTCTTGTTCAAATATTTCGGAGACAAGTATTCTAGAGCATCTGAGACAAGCACAAGCGAAAATGATTTCGCTCTGTATGGAAGAGGAAATTTTATGTCAGCCACACGAACAAGGCCCTTGCGGACAAGGCTCTTGCAGTTATGATCAGCATCCTCTATATCATATGGTTCCACTCCCCAAGCTTCTGTCTCCTCCTCTCTTAAAAGCGTAGAAACCACTGAGCAAGTATCAGGGCCAACATGCAAAACCTTGTGCATGCTATCACCATAGGCCTGCTTTAAAAAGGGAATAGCCCGTTCAACCTCAAAGGTACATGAGAAATCGCCTGCATAACAAAGAATTCAAAATGCATGAATAAAGAAGCATGCAACACAAGAAACAAAATAATGACAGTCAGAGGTCCATCTACAAGGGAAGGCAAACATGACCATCAACAATAGGGAGGCTCGCTCATGCTAGACGAAGACAACTGATCAATAATCTAAGTTTTAGGAGTTCCAGAAACAAAAGATAGCATGCATATACGCCTTTTTGAAAAATAAGTCTATTGACCAAAAAAGAAGAAAAAAAAATAAAAGTTTGATAGATAAAGTATCCCAACTGTGATCCTAGTACTTGGAAGTAAGCAGAGCCATTAATATATGGCTTTGCTATTACTTATTCAATTGTTAAATTGTAAATCAACTATCACTCTAGCATTCAACTTCAGTATCAGCTGGCACCCTATAAGATGGTTTAGAATAGCTCCAGAAAGAAGAAGACCTTAAAAACACAATGCGAAGGAAAATCTCATTATGAAGATCCATTTGATAACTCATATGTGCCAAATCAAACAGGCAAAAACCCCCCAATATCTGAAGGTGATTATCTAATTTCTCAATTTTCAACTCTCTTCAGGTGATGTAAACGATATTACGCAGTATAGAAATCAGAAAAGTTAAGCTACAGGTATGAAAATTTCAAACACAAATGAAAATCGACAAAATTGTACCTTCAACTCTGTTGACTGCTCCTTTGATTCCAAGACCACCTGCAAAGCAAATATAGTTTCCCAGTGTCGGCCAAGGAAGAAAAATACACTCAGAAATGAAAACAAAGTCCACATTCGAAGTTCTCAATAACATAAGATCAGAAAATTATGGCTCTCCACACTGAAAGTCACGCTAGTCATCATCAAACCCTTTTTACTCTGACACACACACTTTCCGTACTGGCGACAAATGCTAAGACTACACCTGAAATCTAAAGTAACTTTATCCTTTCCTTGAGGGGAGACAAACCTTTTTCCATTCAAGATTTAAAAAATATGCTCTGAAGTCATATATATGAAACATTCAATCACGAAATGAGCAATCAAAAGGAAGAATTAAGGAAGAACACGAAATGTTCCAAGTAAGCAAAACATCAAACACAACCCAAAAGAAAAAAGAACGAACCTGACCCACGATAGAAATAGAAGATGACAAGGAATGCCGCCTGTCAAAACATAGCCAGAACTTGTAAACATTTTGCACGATAAAATCAATACAGTCAAAGAACTAATTGACAAGAATTTAATGAGTCGAGAATATCGAAATCTGACTTCCAAGAACACAAAGCAAAGCTTAGCAAAATATACATACACCGACAACAAGCGCAATCGATAATGGAGAAGATCGTGATTTAGAAAGATGCGACTTCGAATATGGGCCAGCTCCTCCTCCAACACCCGAAACTCTTTGAGATGGATTAATCGGCCTCCTTGCCATCGCCATTGTTATGATCAATCATTCCAGTCAAGGCAAAAATGCCAAATCAAATGTAATAAAGAAAACCCGAATCGAAAAAACCCACAAATTTGAGTTCGATTTATCGAAATTGTAATTGTTCGTACTACTAATAATGATTTGGAATCATTCGGTTGAAGACGAAGAAATGAAAAAGAAATAGAGCGTGTGAATTGAATGGGGGGATTTGATAAATCAACGATATATTAACTGGCGCCTTTCAGCCGGCAAGTTTCAGCCAACCAACGGTTTTCTTCGCCGACAGGGGTATTTGAGTCAATTTAATTAAATTCACCCCCAGCCCATTCACCCCGGGCCGGTCCATAAAGAATGCACCGACTTAATTTGCCCATAAGATGCGATCAGGCCCATCAATGGAATGGCATCAGCAACCTGAAGAAAAAGAGTCATCTCCCTGAAATGAAGTTAAAATTGCCGGAGAATTTGGGAACGTTTTCGAATATGTTTTTGTAGCAAATGAATAAATTTCGACGGAAGGATATGGATGTTTTTAATTATTAGAATGTTTTCGGAAGACAAATCATTTTTAAATTTGAATATTTTGGGGTACACACCCCTGAAAGTTGATTTTTTTAATAATAAATAAAAATATATTTATTATAGAATATATTATAACCCGCGTTTGGATTTTGGAATATTATATTATAACTATAGTATATTTTAGGGGATAAACCTTCTCTTCTTGGTAATGCCAAACTCCACTATAAATGAGTAAATACACGCCACTATAATAGTCGGCAAATTACAGTTGGACGTAAGCATTGGAGGTAACCCAAAATTTTGAGGAGTTAATTTTTAACAAATTTTAAAAATTTGACACGTAGGATAAAATCATAAGAAAAATATGGTGATAATTAATTGTTACGCTTTCATTATCAATCTAAAATGTATCGTTATAACACTTGGTAATTTTGTTTTATTTTTAGAGTAGTAGTATAGTAGTATCTATAAGCGACTATCATTCATTAACTAGTGATTGTCCCGCCCCTTGCACGGGGCTGAAACTAATGTAAGATATACTATGCGAAAAATGTTTTCCGAGTTAGATTATTTGATCAAAGTATGAACGTTTAACCAATAATTCACGATAAAAATTTTAGATCACTACTTTTAAAATCAATAACAAATTATCTTGAGGAAGATGAGTGCTTCTGCAGATAAAAATCTTATTACGAAGCAAAAGAATTTAAGATCAAAAGGAGGAAAAAAAAAAGGAACAAACTGAATCTTGAGTTTTGATCGCAGCTTAAGTTTGGCCACTTTTTTCATGGATTTGTTAATTTTCTATTTTAGTAGAAAAGAGGCTATATTTATAGTAGGATTGAACAATTAATGTAAATTAAAATTTCAGATAGAAGATCATGAACCTCAATCCCTTTCATGAAGTAATTAGTTGTATTTTAAAATAATTTTACCCCTTTTGTGTAGTGATTTTATCCTTAAATAACAGAATATATTATTCTTTTAATTTTGAAAGTATTAATTAACTTAGTTATTGGAGAATTAGATATTATTACTACTTTAAAGAAAATTTTTCTTACGATCTTCTATTATCACGATACGTGTTTTTCTAGAATTTCAAATTAAGCCATATCGCTATATGTGTCCTGATATGATTATCACAATGGCCTTATCATAATGTTTAAATTAAAAAACAAATGCAACATAAAATTGTTATTGAAATTAAATTATTAATAAATTAACAATTGCAGGAAAATGAAATCAAATTAAAGAACAAAATAGGTTTTTTTTCGGGGGTAAGAATTATTGAAAATTGCTTACAAAGGTAGCACTGATGTAAGAAAATGTTATTAAGTAGAAGTCAACTCTCATCATATGTGAACCCAAAAAAAGTTCGATCCCCTTGTTGTTTCCTAAACGTCAGGTCCACCACCTTTCAAAGTTAAAAAATAAAATAAAATAAAAAAGTAAAAAATAAAAAAAAAATTCAAAAACATGTTTCTTCCAAGACCACCACCTCCCTCGAAACCAAGCTAATTCTAATATCTTTATCACCATCTCCCAATCTAACATCCTAATTTGAATTCAATGCCACCAATTATAATTGTCATTCTAGATTTAATTTCTGCCCGGAAGAGATGGTTTCTAGTATAACATTATCAGCTCCCTTTCTCCCCCTTTCGAATTTTGTATACCACTACCTCTTGAATATCCTTGAGCTTGTGGACAATTTGTCGAATTCTTCTATGAATTTTGAAAGATTTCCTCTGGAACACAAAGGCCTTCCGCCAGTTTCACAATTTTCCAACCACTACTCCCAATCAAATAGGCCACTCCTACATATTGTTCTCACCACAGTACTTATTTTTTCCCTCAAAATAATTGTGAATTGACAAATCAGATATTTGGCCAGTCTTTTATAGTCAATTGTCCAGATATATGGTACTATTAATATTTAGTTAGTTAAGATATGAGTAAATTATCTTAATCTTCATCCATATATCTTAAGTTTTATTTTTATTTAATCTTATCTTATCAACTAATAACAAATCAATCTTATTTGAAACCATTTATTTAATTAAAAATAAGCTAAGTAAATAATTGAAAGTAACCTTTTTTTATGGACTCCTATCTTTGTGACATGTGTCTGGAGAAATTTTTCAATTGAGCGAGAAGGCTCAATTCATCTCGAAATTCTCCTCTCTTAACATATAAAGATTAATGAATTTCTTCTTGTGACTAATTTCTTTACTAATTATACATGGAGTTCAATAAGTGGTAAATGTTGGCTATAAAAATTCAAGAATACACTACATTAACAGTCCCCGACCTCCAATTGAAGGTGGATAGAAGCGCCTAATAATTTATCAGAACTCCCATTAACATACTGTATATTAAGGATGCCTGTATCTAAGAATTAACCCGTTTTTTACGGTGCTCTATGCTCATAATAGAGTGCTTAATTGACAGTTAACTTGTAAATTATTTTTAGTTTTATTTTGTTACAAGGAGGCCTATGCGTACTTATAAAGTAGAACATTACTGATGTGGTTGCAAATCATGCAAAAGCCACATTTTTTAACCATTGAAGAAGTCCCAACCATCTATCCTCACTGACCTCTTAATTCACCTTTTCGTAATTTTATATGTATATAAATATCGAGAGACAGCAAGAAAGGAACAGTCAACTATATAATATGTATATGCACATGCTGGGGAAATTGAAAAGTATGATTCGCGTTTTTTGCCTCACACTCAGTTAATTAAGGAGTATGAATGGGGGTTGAAAATGACACTCAATTTAGGAGCTTACGGACATTATAAATTAAAGAGAGAACATGCACCCAATTTAGGATTTACGGCCGTTATAAAGTAAAGAAAATTACATAAAAGATCGATTGCTTTGGTTTATAAAAAAATCTAATTAAATATTTAATCTTTTTAACATTATCAACGTGTACTCATTGGTAGTATAATTAAACTGAGAAAAGATAAAAACGCTTTCTCAACCGCTACTTTCTGCGTTATAAATATAAATCTCACCGAACCAGAGATAGTTCACATGAATCTAAACATTAAAGTAGCTCTTTGATCTTTTTTTTTTTTTTTTTTTCTTTTTTTTTTTTGTTTGGTAGACTTCACGGACGGTCTCTAATTAAAGTAGTAGTTTAGTTTTCCTTGATTTTTTGCCATCTCAAAAGTTCACGTACGAAAGGCTTTTTTCTTTCTTTTTACCTTACTATACAAATCAGTAACTCATGTTAGCGTCTTCATAGTCAAATCGCAACTTTTGGATTTAGGTAATTTTACTTTTTTAAAAAAAATCAAAAATAAAAGAAATCACATTTGTTTTCATTTTAGTTGGATCCAAGATTTGTTTTTGTTTCATCACATGTTATTTTTCGTGGTGATTTTTTTTATTATTCCCAAAAGTGTGGGTTACTTGGTTATAGTAATAATTAAGAGTACCAAGCATTAATTAATTAGGGTCGTCACATATAATCATCAGACCGAAAAGAAGTATTGCCCTACCTTCGTCACAAAGGAGCTCACTCATTAAATATATTCTATATACTCGTCACACTGAGAAAATTAAGGCTCCTATTTACTTGTTTAAAAAAAAAAAAGTCGTAACAATTTTTTTTCCCCAAAAAAAGTGATCGATATATTCTAGTATATATCATAGTAGTCCACTACCGAGTCAATATTCTACAACTTTTATATAAGAATCCTCATTCAAAATTGTCATTCATTAATATCTAGCTACTTTCAGAAAAAAACAATGATCCTACTTTTGATGGTCAATACGATCTTGAAATGAATGTTTTTCAAATGAGATGGTTGATTTTGAAAACTTTGCCCAACATATGAAATATGTAGATAATAAAGAGCATTGTCCAATCAATTTGTTGTGGGAAACGAGATGCCTTTTTACCAGTTTGCTGCATTAGATCTCTCACCTCACTTTAGGGCAGGTTTGGTTTGTATAAATGAATCTTGTCAGGCGAAATATTCTTTTCCAAAGTGTTTTATAATTTCCTTCGGTAGGATGTCTGATTCTATTTTAGTTCCTTGAAACAAAGTAAATGGAGCTATGTTCCTGGAATCTTTTTCTCCTCATCATGAATTGTCATTCTCTTTTCTTTCCAAATATTTTTTTTTTCTTATACATCGGTTTTCTTTTATACTCTCTCTGGTCTTTATTATAAGACATTTTGCTTTCTTTTTTTTTTCTAAATTCCACCTAATATATTGAACTAATTGAAAATAAAATCTTAAAAATATATTTTCACATTTATTATTTTTTTCCAATTATTGTAAAATATTTTTAAGATTTTATTTTAATTTAAAGAACACAATATATGAAACCTAGGATCAATTAAAATGCCTTACAATAAGGATCGGAGAAAGTAACATTTTAACTCTTATCTATTCTTATAAATCTAGGAAAGTCCACGGTTTAGATTTTCACTAGAACCGGACAGAAAATGGACCTTCGGTTCATGAATCAGACCAGAATCATGAGTGGCGATTTATAAAATCATAATCAGACAGGCAAGTCAAGAACCGTTTAGGGTCCAAGTCTTTCAAAATATCGTGAACTGACGATTCATATCGGGAATTTTAAATCGATGATTCAAACCATCACAAACTATAGGTTAAGCGTCCGTTCATTACATAAATAAGTATAAAAATATTGATTATATGAGTTGTTAAATGATTGACAATT